CCTGCAGTCTTACAAAGGTGCACAAATTTTCGAGGCTCTCGGGATCGATGACACCGTGGTTGACAGATGTTTCTCCGGCACTGCCACTCGTGTGCGCGGTATGACCTTTGAACTTATCGCTCAAGATGCCTTCGCGTTCCACGAGAAGGGTTATCCATCCCGACACGTCAGAGAAATCCCCGGTTTGCCGGAGTCTGGCGAGTATCACTGGCGAGACGGTGGCCAGCCTCACATCAATGACCCGGTCAGCATTGCAAATATCCAGGACGCAGTGAGAACCAAGAACGACAAGTCGTACGAGGCCTACTCTCTCTCTGAGTACGAGCAGATCAAGAGCTGCACACTCCGTGGCATGCTCGATTTCGACTTCGAGCAGCGTACCCCTGTGCCGATTGATCAGGTTGAGCCGTGGACTGAGATTGTGCGACGTTTCGTCACCGGGGCTATGTCCTATGGCTCCATCTCCATGGAGGCGCATTCCACCCTTGCCGTAGCCATGAACCGACTCGGTGGCAAGTCCAACACCGGCGAAGGCGGCGAGGACCCGGAACGCAGTTTACAGATGGCAAACGGCGATTCCATGCGCTCTGCCATAAAGCAGATCGCGTCTGGTCGATTCGGCGTCACGTCAAACTACCTAGCGGACTCTGACGAGCTTCAGATTAAGATGGCCCAAGGGGCAAAGCCTGGCGAAGGCGGTGAGCTGCCGGGCCACAAGGTCTCCGAACCGATTGCTCGTACTCGACATTCCACTCCTGGTGTCGGTCTCATCTCTCCTCCTCCCCACCACGACATCTACTCTATTGAAGATCTCAAGCAATTGATTTACGATCTCAAGTGCTCCAACCCTCGAGCACGAGTGTCCGTCAAGCTGGTGTCTGAAGTCGGTGTCGGTATCGTCGCAGCAGGTGTCGCAAAAGCCAAGGCTGACCATATCTTGATCTCTGGTCATGACGGCGGTACGGGCGCCTCAAGATGGACTGGTATCAAATATGCTGGTCTCCCGTGGGAGCTTGGTCTCGCCGAGACCCACCAAACCCTGGTGCTGAATGATCTCCGTGGTCGTGTCATTGTCCAGACTGACGGCCAGATCCGAACTGGTCGCGACGTTGCGATTGCTTGCCTGCTCGGTGCTGAAGAATGGGGCTTCGCCACAACACCTTTGATTGCCATGGGCTGTATTATGATGCGCAAGTGCCAGTACGAGCAAAACCCCTCCATCCTTAATCCTCGTACGTGCTAACAGATAACCTCCAGTTTGAATACCTGTCCGGTTGGTATCGCTACTCAAGACCCACTCCTTCGTCAGAAATTCCAAGGTACTCCTGAGCATGTCATCAACTTCTTCTACTACGTCGCGAACGAACTTCGTGCAATCATGGCTCAGCTCGGGTTGCGGACGGTCAATGAAATGGTCGGACACGCAGAGCTTTTGAAGGTGCGCGAAGATCTCCGCACGGACAAAACTCAGAACATCGATCTCTCTCTTATCCTCACGCCGGCACACTCGATCCGGCCTGGCGTCGCGACTTACAACGTCCGGAAGCAAGATCACAAATTGCACACTCGCTTGGACAACAAGCTGATTTCTGAATCCGAGCTTGCTCTGGAGAAGGGATTGCCCTGTCGTATAGAGACAGACATCGTCAACACCGACCGTGCACTGGGCGCCACATTGTCATACCAAATCAGCAAACGCTATGGCGAAGCCGGTCTCCCTCAGGACACCATCCACGTCAACATCAGAGGCTCTGCCGGTCAGTCATTCGGTGCTTATCTAGCGCCAGGCGTTACACTCGAGCTGGAAGGTGACGCCAACGACTATGTTGGCAAAGGTCTGTCGGGCGGCCGTCTCATAATCTACCCTCCTCGCAGTGCTGTTTTCAAAGCCGAGGAGAACATTCTGATCGGCAATGTCTGTCTCTATGGTGCCACAAGCGGTACGTGCTACTTCAGAGGTGTCGCCGCTGAACGCTTCGCTGTTCGAAACTCGGGCGCCAATGCGGTTGTCGAAGGTGTGGGCGACCACGGCTGCGAGTATATGACCGGAGGTCGTGTTGTTATCCTGGGTGGCACTGGCCGTAACTTCGCGGCCGGAATGTCGGGTGGAATCGCGTACGTTCTTGACATGAACCAAGACTTCCACTCCAAGATCAACATGGAAATGGTGGAAGTCTCTGGCGTCGAAACCCCCGAGGAGATTGCTTTCCTACGAGGTATGATCGAGGACCATCACCACTACACTGGGTCGGAATTGGCAGCTCGTATCCTGCTTGAATTCAATCGCGCCCTCCCGCGCTTCGTCAAAATTCTGCCCACCGATTACAAGAGAGTGTTGGCGGAGCAGGCCAAAAAGGCGGAGGAGGCAAAGAAAGCAGAATACCCTCTCCCAATATTGCCCGGTAACCCTGTGCGCAACCTTCACCAAGAACAGCGCGACATTGCTGCTGAGAAAGAGGCCAAGCAGAAGAAGGCAAACATGCTCGACATCGAGGAAGGTGTTAATGGTGATGCAGATCAAGCCAAGCACAAGGCTGCATTGGTTCTCGATAAGACTCGTGGTTTCATGAAGTATGCTCGTCGCAGTGAAAAATACCGCAACCCGAAGACCCGGGTCAAGGACTGGGCCGAGCTCTCGTCGCGTCTGAATGAAGACGAACTGAAATACCAATCCGCTCGATGCATGGACTGCGGTGTCCCATTCTGTCAGTCAGACACTGGATGTCCCATCTCCAATATCATTCCGAAATGGAACGAATTGGTATTTATGGACCAGTGGAAAGACGCTCTTGATCGCCTACTGATGACCAACAATTTCCCCGAGTTCACCGGCCGTGTCTGCCCAGCTCCTTGCGAAGGAGCTTGCGTCTTGGGAATCAATGAAGACCCAGTGGGCATTAAGACCATTGAGTGTGCCATCATCGACAAAGGTTTCGAGATGGGCTGGATGGTGCCGAACCCACCCAAGGAACGAACCGGCAAGAAGGTCGCTGTCATTGGCTCTGGTCCAGCAGGTCTTGCCGCAGCCGACCAACTTAACCGGGTTGGACATATCGTCACTGTTTATGAGAAGTCGGATCGCGCTGGCGGCTTACTGATGTACGGCATTCCCAACATGAAACTCGACAAGCGAATTGTCCAACGACGTGTTGATCTCATGGCCGCTGAGGGTGTCAAATTTGAGACAGGGGTCATGGTTGGTCCTGGGGAGGAGGTCAGTCTCGAGTCGCTGCGCCAGAGTAACGACGCGGTCATTATCTCTACCGGTGCCCAAGTTCCTCGTGACCTAAAGATCAAGAACCGCGAAGCTGAAGGCATCCATTTTGCGATGGAATTCTTGCACGCCAACACAAAGTCTTTGCTTGACTCTCAGTTGGGCGATGGTCATTACATCAGCGCAAAAGATAAACATGTCATTGTCATCGGTGGTGGAGATACCGGCAACGACTGCATCGGCACGTCCCTCCGACATGGAGCCAAGTCCATCACCAACTTCGAGCTCTTGCCTCAGCCTCCACCAGAGCGCGCTCGCGACAACCCATGGCCTCAGTGGCCAAGGATCTACCGTGTGGACTACGGTCACACAGAAGTCAAGCAACACTACGGAAAAGATCCTCGTGAATACTGCGTCATGACGAAAGACTTCGTGGTCGAGGACGGACGTGTAGTTGGCATCAACACGACTCGTGTAGACTGGACAAAGAGTGCAACTGGTGGCTGGGACATGAAGCCCAGAGAGGGAAGTGAGGAGTACTTTCCAGCGGATCTCGTGCTTCTTTCTATGGGTTTCCTTGGTCCGGATGACCGTCTCTTCGAAAGCCAAGTCGAGCTCGATCCGCGCAAGAACATCAAGACGCCAAAGGGCATGTACAACACCAACCTTCCGGGTGTGTTTGCTGCCGGTGACTGTCGACGTGGCCAATCTCTCATTGTCTGGGGTATCAATGAAGGCCGTCAATGTGCTCGACAGGTGGACAGCTTCCTCATGGGCACAGGATCCATCCTACCCGTCACCGGTGGTATCATTCAACGAGCCCAGCATGACGCCGTCCCTACTTCTCAAGAGATGAAGGCTCACAAGCACGGCGACATGGCGCATGCTGCCGAAGACTTTAAGCGAGGTCCCGAAATAAAAGTCGCAGCATGATTTCTCTGGCGATAAATCGACGTTAATGATTACGTATGAAGGCAGGACGCAGCAGTGGACACAAAAAATGACGTGGGGGCGGCTTTTCTATCCTTCTTTCACGATTTGGCATGGCGAGCGCAATCAGCTAGTATGCGAGATACCCTGACGACCGCATTTCGAATCATGAGATGCGAGATGAGATGCTGATGGAATTTGCGACGGAATACGCCTTTTTGTTCTTACGATCTTTGATGAGCGAGGCATTTTGACGCTTCGAGGCTCCAGACATGTATCGCTCATACTCGAGCGGTTTTGGGTGTTTGGGAGAAAAGCATAGGGTGAAAATTGAAGAGTTGAGTGTGGTGCACATTCGAAAACTTGGAAGGAGATACTGCAGACTGCCAATGGAACTGTATCAACACCAACCTGGGTAGATAGCAGAATAAAATACCTATATAACTGAAAATGGTCCTTGACTCCAGTTTCTTGACCTGCTGTGATGCTCATAAGGTTAGTCCCTTTGTCTCTGTGTACCAAAACATCCTTCAGCACACATTGTATGATACCCAGGATCCCGCGACGCGCGAGGGCAGCCCAGCTCAGCAGGCGCCCAACCCAGTCTTGATAAAGCAGAGAAGTCCATCCTTGCATGAAAATGCAAGGCGACATATGGCTTCCCTCGTTCAACTTAGCATGACTAAAAACTCAGGATTAGACTACCTAGAGCTAAAGTCATATTGGCGGCATCTTATTGGTAGCTGCTTTAACGTAGCATTATAAGCTTATATTGGAACCCGTCCTTAATATTTATGCTAACAACATACCTTAATCCACCAATTCTCTTTATTACTTCGCGTCGTCCATATCATATGTTCAATGGGCGTCTTTCATTCGCAGCGCAACCAACGTCAAGCCCTCAATCTGCAATATACGAAAGTCTGCCGGACTGTCGCCGTCGGTCATTAGCAGATTGTATGGAACTTCCCAAAACACGACTAGCCAAATAACAAGTCGCGACGCGGTTCCGATCTACAAAAGCAGCTACCACATTCACAGCACACAAGACCAAGAGGGTCCGGGCCACCGTTACAGCAGAGGCTATCATCAAGCCGGGAGAGGCCTCTATGTTTAAGGGGACCGGCAGGGGTCAACTACTTCAACTACGGACGAGTCGTCTCATTTTGCACCACTCAAGCCACCAATCGGAGTTTGATTCGAGGTTCATCACAGTTCGCCAGTAACATTGATCACAATGTTTCTGACATGCTCACTCCCCCTCCTTCCTCCTCCACCAACGTCCCTGCTCCCGCCTCTCACGACTTCATTCTCGTCCGAGGCCTCTTCGACGGCGTCCCATCAACATCCTCACCAACATCCGTCGTCCTCTCGCCGCCCCAAACCTCACCATACAAACATCAACAGCCGGAACAACACACTCGTCACTCTTTCTTCTGATGAGCGAACCATCTCCCAACGGAAAATGGCCATTGCGATGTATGGCTACAGTTGGCTCAAGCCGGCAGGATGTGCCAAGACCATGCTCGGGAGACGGGAGGAAGAAGTCGAAAGGGAGGAAGTCGAAAGGCAGCTGAGAGAGGTGGAACTCCAGGAAAGGCTAGCGCAAGAAGCGGAAGAGCAGGAAAGGCTGGCGAGGCTTAACGAGATGGGGGAGGGTGAAATGGATGAAGGGGAGCGGGATTTAGATGAGGATATTCCGGACGCCGATGAGGCGGACATGGATGGGGAGGAAGACGGAGAGAGTGAGGACGAAGATGGCGATGGAATTGATGAGGGTGAAGATGACGAGGCGATGCAAGCCGATCTTGACGACGACATACCCGATGCGGATGACCAGGACGACGACGACGAAGACGACGACCCAATGTCGCCTGACCCAGCGGGCGCGGATGGAAACTGGGTTTACGACACCCGTCGGGAGCCGGATACGGACGATGAAGAACAATTACCCCATCCGCATCCAACCAGGCGCCATTCCTCTGGTCGTGCTGCGGCTGGGAGGTATGGTAGGCATGCAACCGTTGCTGGTGTGCGCCTCCCAGTTCCAGGAAGCGAATATGGCTACGATGAGCGGGACGCTGAAGACTTAGCGGACGCTATGCTCGCTCACAACGAGATCTTTGACGACCGCGCTACTGAAGGCAGCAGTGCTGCCAACATTGAGCATGATCTAGATGACGATGTTCCTGAGGCAGAGGATGATCAAATCTGGGAACATACCGACACCGAGCTCGAGGAGAGCGAGATGGATATCTCAATTCTTCCCGGTCAAGGTGCAGGCCCAATTGTGCCCGGAATGGCTCAAGCTCAGAATCTACGGCCTCTTCGCAGTTCCGACCGCATTTCGGTGCCTCGAAGTTCCGGTCCATGGATTACGGGACCTTCGCCCTCGCCTCACGTACCTGGAGAGATAATCACTCGACGTGGAATGCACGCCAGGCCCACTCCCGATGCTGCCACCCGCGCCGCAAGGATTGTATCGGGCAACCGGCAACGTCATTACCATCCTGGTCTCCCGAATACGCGGCATCAGCTCAACCAGACGCCAGCGATGCTGGATAGTCCGCTTGACGTCGATGAGGAAGAAGTTGACACCGATGTCGAACTGGATACCCCTGATCCCTTTGCCGCCCCCAGAAATCTGAGAGATGGAGCTGCTGGCCGAATGGCTGGACCAGAGACAACGGGCAGGGACGCTGCACCCCGACCCGCAGAAGACGATAACAACAACCATAGCCCAAGTCGCGCCGCAGCAGCGCGTAACTGGCTCGATGGAGCAGCAGCAGCCGTTGTCGGAGGCAGCGGAAGCGCAAGGAGAACATTGTTTCACCGTGCGACGAGGAGAAGAAACAACGTCGAGCCTGACGCGATGGCAGCCTCTGGTGCCGTGCAGGCTGCCCCCGGCGGCGCCTCGAGTGGCGGACTCTTCACACCCTCTCCGCACATCGGGGGTGCCGGGTCTGGTCGCGTTCAGGACCGCCCGGGCGGAACAGCACTGGATTGGGATACACCTGTGAATGCGAATGCAATGGGGGGCGCAGGTGAGGGGCCGTCCGGTCAAGGTCCAGACCAGAGAGGACGGGGAAGACGCACAGGCCGCTTTCTGGGCGCGCGCAGACGAGCAGAGTAACACCAGGGAATAGAAAGCTGGGGGATGATGATATTGGGAGGGCTGGATCCCTATGTGGCATCTGTTATGATATGGAGTCTTCTGACGAGCTCCTCCGGCGCAAAGCTCCTCCGGCGCAAGGTCAGTCTGTGGCTTGTCGGCACCGACTCCAGGCCTCAAGGGTATCATTCAAGAAAGACTCCATTTTACATGTACAAATTCCTCTCGCCCTCCCAAATCAACTCGCACTACTTCACAGATGTACTTGGGAGATCGGACACGAGCGTCGCAGACTGCGCGGCGCCGATATCACGAGCACGCTAAGACCAGACGAATTAAAAGGTCCAAGAAATTCATATTCACTTTTTTGTACCTGCCTGCCAACTTCGCTGCGTGATTCTTGGTACAAATCAACAAAAATTGCTCCGGTAACGCCTTGCTCTGGGCCCTGTTTTGCATTGTGCCGCCTTGAAAGGATCTGGGGACGGAGGAATGGAAAGAGTGAATTATATACAGCTCTGTAATTCGTCGGAAATAGAGAGGCCGCTGCTCAAGATGACGGCGATTGGGAGAGACTTGCGGAACGCGGGCTAGTGCTGAGGAGTCGAGGATGACCGAATGCGATATGGGGTTCGCAATGTGGATTTCGGAGAAAGGTCTTGGGCGATGTCGTTTCCGAAAGAGGTCGTGTGCCGGATCGTGCCTCATTTCTGGGTTCCTTCATCATGGCATGATATGAGGCGGCGCCCAAATGTCCTTTTGAGGCGCACCAGCGCTGAAGGATTCCAAAAGGTCAAGATCTCGCTCGCTCAGATGCGGATCCAGGTCCAGTCCAAGACCAAGTGCTGTGCCTAGCAGAGCTGAACCCTTCATCGCTTGCTGGCTCTCCTCTTGCCTTTCCGCCCAACCGTTCAGCTTTTGGGTCTTTCCCGCTCAGAATAGCCACACATAGGCAAACAAAGCCCACACGGCGATGAAAAATATCACCCACACTTTCCACCCCACCCCTGTCCGCTCTGCCATGCGTAACATCCTCCTCATAGTACCCCGTAACCTCACGCCCGTATTCTCAAAGGTATCATTAATTGTCTGCGCGAGCTGGGACGAGTCGCGGATTTCATCACCGATAGCAACCGTGAGAGACTTCAGTTGCGAGACTTTTTGACTCAAGAGTGTGGTTTGAGTGATTTCGTTTTGAGACTCGAGTTCCTCGAGGACGGAAGCGGAGTATTGACCCTTGGAGTTGGGCGTCGCTGGGCGGAATCCGGATGACGGCCTTTGAGGAGTGCTGTGGCCATTTGTGGAGGAGTAAGGCGTCAGGTAGGGTGACGAGGAACTTGCTTGTTGTGATGTGGGATAGGCATAGCTGCTGGGTCTCTGCCCGGAGGATGAGGAGGATGGGCGCGAGCCGGGGTAGTCTTGGAAGAGGGCAGAGGAGGCTGGGGCGGCGCGCCGATTTAATGACGAGTAGCGGTTCCTGTTCACTGGTGTTAGCCCACCGGAATTCATCTTCTGGTGACGACGTGGGGGTGGAGAGAAACGTACGTTGACATGTTGGACGGGTTTGTCGTCGTAGAGTGATGTTCACAAAGACAGGTGGATTGTCGTGAGCCCTGTATACTTTTTCTTTTCAAGCCATCTTTGTTAGGATCCTCGTTCGCCACAAGTAGGAATTCGTGCCACTCTGTCTGCGATCTCGACAGCGGGTTTCGTTGGCCTAGGGCATCAAATTGTCTTGTTCTGGCTTTGGACAAAGTCGCAGCAAGAACAAATGTTCTGGCCTCAGGATGACGCCGGTGGCGGAAACGCCCGGCCGGACTCACTGCACATGATGATCCAAAAGTCTACCGTACAGCGACCTCAGCCTCGTCAGCCTCGTTCAATGCTGCCACAATCTTCCCAAGACGTGTGGGCTTCAGAAAGCTACGAAACGCAGCTTGAACTCTTGAACTCGGTTTACTGCAGCTGTATGTCATTAAACTTGCTCATGCGCCGCTCAGGTTCCTGAAAGCGAACCCGCTGTCTCCCAATGGATCCTCCTTTTCCACGGAGAACGTGCTGAATCCGGTGTAGTAGGCTTGACCTTCAACTTTAACCCTTACTTCCGTCTTTTTGGTAGTCTGTGATGGTTCTTGATGATGCTGCGGCTTCCCCCCGTCCGTATTTCCCTCTACAATTGTCCCGATAAAGGGTGGACCGATTCCGAGCTTTGAAACCAACGAATGGTATGCCCACGACTCATTCTCCGAGCGTGTCTCCTCGAGATATGCGAGCGCTGCGCGGGCGGCCACTCCACTTCCAGTTGGAGACCGGTCAATTTCCTCGGCCGCAAAGTAGCACACTCCCAGCTCTGAGCCGGCCACCCTTTCATTTTGCACATTCATGTTGTCAGTGACAATGACTCCATATAAAAAGGACATCTCAGGCTCGGAATTATGCTCGTAGTAGCGCGAGAGATCCCTATTGACCAGTATGGCTGATTTCAGGCCCCGCGAGGCACGGTTCAGCGCTTCTAAGTCGACTGCTTTCAGGCCATTAGCAAACCCTAACTCTGTCGCCGTAACAATGCAATAGAATGCTCCGCCATAAGCGAAGCCGGCATGTACTTCCGCTCTGTCACTTGGGAGCTCGGACCAACGTAGATGCGCAGGGATAGGAATTGCGATGTTGGTGCCTTTTGCAAAAGATGGGACGGACACAAAGGAGACAGGACGTTGAGGGTCTGATGCCGAACCATCTTCATTGGTCGGTACGGTCACTTCAACGAGCCCACATGGGGCATGGAGGTTGATGACAGCATACCGCGTGTGAGGGTCGTACTTTATCTCATTCCTTCTCGGGAATATATGGAGGTCATGGGTATCGACGAGAAACCGTCCCAGCGCAATGGTTGCATGACCACACATTGTGGAGTAGCCATCATTTGTCATAAATAGAACCCCAATATGGGCTTCGCCACTCGTAGTGAGCTCGGTTTCCGGTCGAAGTATTGCGCCATACATGTCATAGTGCCCACGAGGCTCCAGCAAGACCCGTTCTCGAATATGGTCATATTTGGTTTTTGCTTCAGCACGCTGTTCCAATAGTGTTCCGTGGAGATCGGGATATCCGTCAGTGACGATTCGAGTAGGTTCACCGCAAGTATGCATCTCTATACAAGAGACCGGTTTGTTCTCCGACCGCAAGAGCTGTTGTTTGATGTCCATGATTGATGATCAAGTACAACTCAGCCTTGAGACAGCCTAGTCTCTGAAGATATTGATTCGGTGGGTGTTTAACGAAGATAAACAATAATTTGCATATAAAAATGTCCAATAAGTCGGAGAGCTCGATTGCGCCAATATAGCTGTGCGTAGGCTAGAGGGTGATCTGTCACAGGGGGAGACACTCTCAATTACGGAAAAAAATGATGCACCCTCCAAAATTCTAGGCAGACACGAGTTTGGCAGAAGGAGAAGGTCTTGACGAGAAACAGATAGAGAAGCTAAACAAAAGTGGGGGATTGGTTCAACTGATATGTTGGACAAGGCTGAAATATAGCCTTGCATGATCCAGCCGGTGGAGCACACGGCGAGTCGCGCATCCACGCCTTCCACAACGCGTTGCGACCAAAGTGGAGGTCAATCTCGACACCGCGAACACAACTGCGACGAATTATTGCATGGCCTCGAAGTTGGCTGATAATCTCCGTCCCCTACTTCAGTGCCTGGTGCACTTATAGAAGCCTCATGCTCCAGATGAACCTCAGCACAGCATGGTTGCCCCACGACAAAACGAAAGTTTCGGCTCGGTTGGCGAACTTGATGCTGAAGTAGTATCGGAGCTGAGGGACAGGCTGACAGAAGTCTCGATAAAATGCTCCGAACGATGTTTGTACCAATCAGCGAAATGGTGAGCAGGAAGAGGTCTCAAGAAGAGCAGCCACTGACCAGGCATTAGGGCAGCGGAGCTTCTCGATTCTCTTCCCGAAGACGACGATCCCTTTGATGACTCTCCCATGCAAGATACAAATAATGTCCAGTCCTCGTATCGACTATTCTCAACCAGTTATGATGACCCTGAAGAGGCGGCACTGGAGGCCAAGGAGGCACCAAAGTACCTGCTAGCGAAAGCATTCTTCGACACCAAGGAGTTTGACAGATGTACAGCGGTATTCCTGCCTCCCGCAATCCCAGCTGGCGGTCTAGCAATCTTCGACAAGCCCAAAAAGCGGACGCCTACATCCACACCATCTCGGACGAAGGGAAAATCAAAAGAGAATGGTGCAGCTACTGTCAGTCCGTTCCCGCGGCTCAGTCAAAAGTCTCTATTCCTCGCACTTTATGCGCGGTACCTCGCTGGAGAGAAGCGCAAGGACGAAGAAAGTGAGATGGTCCTGGGTCCAGCCGATGGTGGGCAGACGGTCAACCGCGAACTTCCAGCACTGGCAAGAGGATTGGAAGCATATTTCCAAGTGCGAGATGCCGCGGATTCGCAACTAAAGCGATCTCAAGGGTGGCTCGAATACCTGTACGGCACCGTTCTGGCCAAGTCACGACAAGAACAACTTGCACAGCAATGGCTTCTCCGTTCTGTGCGACTCAATCCCTACCACTGGGGTGCTTGGGAGGAATTGGCAACCTTACTCTCATCGATCGACGATCTGAATTCCCAACTTTCTCCTTCTGTCCTACCTCAGAACCTCATGAGCATCATGTATCAGGCCTATGCCTCTGTTGACCTGTTCTCGACAAGCGACCAATCGACAACATTGAATTACCTTCGAATTCTCCTGAACTATTTTCCGACCTCCACATTTTTACTTACACAACTTGCTCTCAGCCACTACCACGCCAAAGAATACGAGTCCTCTGCATCCATATTTCAAGAGCTGCTAGTGGCCCACCCTCATCGTCTTGACGGACTTGACCATTACTCCAACATTCTGTACGTGATGGCTGATCGACCCAAGCTAGCGTTTCTCGCCCATCTCGCCACATCCGTCGACAAATTCCGCCCAGAAACCTGTTGTGTGGTGGGAAACTATTACTCTCTTTGCTCCCAGCACGAAAAGGCTGTCATGTACTTCCGGCGCGCCCTTACATTGGACAGGAACTTTCTGTCGGCATGGACACTGATGGGTCACGAGTACATCGAGTTGAAAAACACACACGCGGCCATCGAAAGCTATCGACGAGCCGTCGACGTCAATCGTAAAGATTACCGTGCTTGGTACGGTCTAGGCCAGGCGTATGAAGTCTTAGACATGGGCTTTTACGCTTTGTTTTACTACCAAAGAGCTGCCGGACTGCGCCCGTATGACCCCAAAATGTGGCAAGCAGTCGGGTCCTGTTACGCGAAAATGGAACGACTGGATCAAGCAATCCGAGCTCTCAAACGCGCCCTTGTCGCGGGGACGTATTTTGAAGAATCACCTTCTGCCCAGTCAAGTTTCAATGCAAACAGCAGCGTTTCAAGCAATTTGGCTTCTAGCACAAAGCGTGGAAGATCCACTCCCCAGACCAAACCAAACCAGCAGAAAGCCACCCGCAAGCTTCTCGATCCGGAAACCCTCTACCAAATCGCCCTGCTGTACGAGCGTGTTGGCGGTGCCGAAGGAGAAAAGGAGGCTGTGCAGTACATGGAACTTTGTGTCGCTCAAGAAACTGGTGGAAGCCACATGAGTGTTGTAAAGGCGGAGAAAGCACTTCGCAAGCGTCTGCAAAAGGAAGAAAGGAAAACTGCTTTGGCTGAAGAACGCCGAGCCAGAGCAGGCCGGATGCGTGCGGAGGGTGTAGGAGATATGGAAGTCGACGCAGGACAAGAGGCAGCTGGTGCTGATGATGATACGGAAATCATGTCGCCATACTCCGCATCTCCTGATTCGCCGTCAGGGTCATCACCGTCACCCTCTGATGCCGAAAATGCTGGCGAAATACACGGGGAGGGTGGAGGTGATGGCTTTGGCACCGGTACTACCGCTACAACCTCCAAAGCACGCCTGTGGCTTGCCCGCTGGTGCGTGAAACAAGGAGACCTGGACCGTGCAGAGAGACTGGCCGAGGAGTTATGCATGGACGGATATGAGGTCGAAGAGGCAAAGGGGCTGGTTCGAGAGGTCAGAGGGAGAAGAGAAGTGGAGGCGAGCGGAGCCAGTGTAGGCTTGGACCTGTTGCAACCACCGATGACTTGACATGCGACTTTGGGACTGTTGTGGGACGGGTAAAGAAAAGTGATTCATATGGGCACGGCCTGGGTTGAACGAATTATGAGTCTACGATTGAGTATGACATGGTTGCAGTCAATTTGACGATTTGTGCCGCACAAGGCTGTCTCGCCGGAGGGAGTGCAAAAATGAGACCCTGGCAGAGACAGATTGTAACAACAGCGCTCATCCGCACTTGTTATTAAAGCTTCCTCTCCCTGAAGCGTGCGCCGCAGCTTTCTGCATGTTCTGTTTGTTGTGGGAGCGAGCCGAGAGCCTTCGGGCTGGGCCTTTGCGAGGGCTCCGGCCTCAGCAAGCATCCACTTCAGCTCACTCTTGACAGAAACCTACCCCCTTTCCATGCCGCCGCTCTCAGCCTGCAGATGCACTTGGAGTTCTACAATGTGATCTGATCTGAGGGAGGCCAAGGTATAGCCAGGTAAGCACGAGAAGAACATCCGCCGAGACTCTAGGTACGTAAAGCACTTCGACTGACTGACGACTGCAGTCGAGTCCCAGATTTTGAACCTTCACGTCGCCTCGGCCTCGCACCCTGCTCTCCGTTCCCGCGGCTGTGCCCCTGCCCACCGTGGCCGGATCCGGTGGATCTCCCCAGAGACGACATAGGAGAGCATTGTTGGCAGGGAGAAACAATGACAAGATGCATACGTGAAGGAGGAGACACAGATTGGAGACGGGGGTGAGGAGACCACCAGGACATTTTCGATTGTTGTCGGTGCCCGCGCAAGGAGGACAGAGGGCTAGGACGGGTTGCGAGGGGCGGTGGCCTGTAGGGTTTTTTTGGTTTGGCCCGCCTGTCTGCGATACTGAATGGGGCAAGCGAGACGGATCATGTCCAGAACAGATGAATCGAGGCACAACCACCCTACCGAGCAATCTATACCCTGTTCGTGGTCTCCCTCAGTATTGGACGGGTTCACGCTGGAGTCCTACTGAGAGTTACGGATCTTCTGGAGGGACTGTTCCTTGGGGGGGACGAGGCTGAGCGTGCAAAGGGGGAGGCGATGGAGGCGAGATAACCGAGGTTAACCGAAGCATAACGACAAACGAGCATGTGTTCACAAAGAACGGACGTCATCTGAAGAGGAGAGTATCACTTGATAAAACGGCCTCAGTCTGAAGCCTCTCTGTCGACAGCCCTACTTCACCATCATTATCCCTGTTATCAATACCGTCCTGGGCGCGCCCTCAGCATTACCATCCACTGTTCCTGTCAGCACTCGAGTCCCCCACCCAGCATTCTCTTCCCAACCCTGCTGTTTCCCAAAGGAGTGTGAGTTGTAATAGCACTGGACTCCCAACACCTGATTGTCCTTTTTCTTGTCCTCCCTCCATAACCCTGATCATGCTGCACAGCTCTGACTATCAATACAACGAATCTGGAGTGCGATGTCGTAGGAGGCTGATCAAGTCATCTTTCCCTCAGTCGCAAAGGCGACTCTGTTCTGCACAATGACCCTCATGGTGCAAAGTCGTTGATTGGACTCTGTGCGGAGTGTCAGAGTTGTCTTAGGACTCACTACAAAGGGGATGGTAGCAAACCTGCACCTGTCACCAGATCAAACACGATCTGAAGAATGAAGAGATTTCACATCTTTCTGACAGTATGAACGCGGCAGTCGATCCTGGCACTTCGAACGTAGTTGTCCCACATAGGCAACTGTCCCCATGCGGTGATGGCAACCTTCCACCCAGCCCCCATGGTTCTGATGAGCTTTCTGATGTCTTCATCTTCATCGTCGTAGTGCCAGGTGACGGTATGAGTCTTGAACTCCTGTCCCGCGTGGACGTTGGTGATGATCTTTCTTGGAGGAAAGTTGAAGACAGGTTCTGCTTTCATTTTTGTCTTTTGTAGCGACTCTTCTCCATTCTCTGGAGTGTCCTTGGGATGCTGCTTGTTTGCATCTGGCGGGGTGATCTTGACTTCGAACCATGTCTTGCTGTTCCTGTATGTCCCGACATTTTGCTCGTCATTGCTGTGACCTTGATCAGAAGAACTGGTGCTGAATGTAAGGGAACGTAGTGAGTTGGGTGGCAAAGTAGGAGGCAGTTCAGCTTCAACATAGACCACGCCTGGTTTATGACCTTTGACGCCGTGCCCCCGTTCAGTCACTTTCATAGGCTCTGGATCGACCCTTGATACCAGATGAATATCGTCCCACAGTTCGGCCAGGTCCAGAATCTCGGTAACCACATCGCGATCGACGAGACGAGACAAGATCATGGCAGTGCGGTAGACGTCCCGGCTGCAGGGGCCTTTGGGCTCCAAGGGAATAGAGTAGCATAGTTCGTCGCACTTTTGCAGGGCCCGCTCGGCGTATGGGAGCACACAGTCTGGGAGACTCGAGATCAGGAGGTATCGCATGATGAGTGGCAAGATAATGTTGAGGATGAGTTTGAAGAGGATGAGTTTGAGAAGGAAAAAGTAGATGGCCCAGAGCCCAAAGAGGGCCAGGAGAAGATCGTTCAACAACATATTCAAGAAATGGAAGCTCGGCAGGAGGATGACAATACGACGGCCATTGACTAAGAGGAAGGGCGAGGGCTTGTAAGCTACAGTATTAGCAACCACATTGTAGCGGTGAAGTAGGACGGCCGAAGAGGACGAGGATAAGATACGAGAAAGGATTAGGAAGAGGAGGAGAAAGGTACATGATGACTTGAATCTTTCAAGACTCATCAGGCACGTGGTGGGGTGGAGTGTGTTTTGGGAAGGGGAGGCGATCGAAGGCTCAGTGGCCCAAAGAGGGATTTGGGTGAAGGATGCCTGATGCCTGACGCCTGGTGAAGGAAGGCCGGTCTGTCTGCGCTGGAAGGTCCGTTAGGTGGCTCCCTACCTGAAGAGGTACCTGGAGAGGCACCTGAGCAGGTCCAGGAAATGGTGTTCGCCTGTCCGACTCCTGCGCCTTCCACGACCACACACCTCTCAACCTCTCAACCAGCGGCCTCGATGTTCTCACCTCTCACCACCCACAGCGGATCTGTCATGAATGAGCCTTCCACCAGCGTCTGGATCTCAATATTGCGCCATCCGCTCCACCACAGATAGTCCCCAACCATGTTGAGCCTCTCGTCTTCGTCGATCTTGAGCCACCTTCCGACCACTTTGGTGGGAAAGCACCGGTTGGAAATGACCAGATGCACCCTTCCACCCTGGTTGGTCTGTCGTCGAATACTCTGCAGAACTTCAACTGGCTTTGTCAGGTAGTCGATGGACACCACACATGTCGATGCATCCAACTTTCCCACGGCCGGACCAGGTAAGTGGACTTCTGGATCTTCGTTGAGATCTTGCACCGACCAGTGTGTCAATACAGGATTCTTGCTCAGCTCAGCGCGATTCATGCCCATCCCTAGCACCTCGACTTCCCCTGACGATGCTGCCTTGGTGACCTCGGTCGGATAATGTGAAATCCAGCTGGAACAAAAGTCCAATATCCGTCCTTTGCGGGGCAAGACCTGCGCATAATAGTTGCGCACGTTGTTGATGGCATTGGCGTCAATATGTGTTACAAACCGCGGAGCAGCATAAAAGCTCGAGTCGTCCCCTGGCTCCATGGGAGTGAGGTCTTCCTGGGAATAAGGAAAAGGTCCATCTGGACTCTGCGGCACATAACGCCTTGGGGGCATGGTGTTTGAATCCATTTTCCTCGTGGCTGCGATCAATCCTGAGAAAAGGGACATCGACCGAAGATTGATTCTGATGGCGGCCGGGGGCATTTGGCCTCTCGCCTGATGTTGGGGGCAGAGCGACGATGCCGTTCTGACAATGTTCAGTCCAGAGGTCAATCTGCTTTCTGAATGCCGGCGCCAATGACGTCTTTGACTGCCGACCATCCCAGAAGCGGAAGATTGTTTGGGGCGGACAACTGCGCCATCCTTGAGACACAAAGGACAAGCCTTTGCAGTGGAAGGTATCCTGAAGTTGACCCCATAGAATGTTGCTTGACATTGTCTCTGACTATTCGCCAGGGTTACTGTCTATGGACGCTATGCGACGGCGAGATGTGCTCCTAGGCATCGGGTCCGTCATTATCAGACACGGTGCTGTGGCGAATTTACGCGCTCTAGCGTGTAAATGAAGTGTCCGGATATTGTTTGTGTGCAGTTGGTCATTGTTGCCATGAGAGGGTGTTGCCGGATACATGATCCCCCTGCAAAGATGCTGGTCACAGGCTTCACAATGTCACTATGTTACACGAGGCTTCAAAGGACTTTCAAGCCTTGCGGGTGTCGCCCCATGCTGCGTCATTGGCAATACAACGGAGTGACGTGCCGGCCACTGAAGACTCAATTCACTGATTCGGCATGCCTTCCTCCAGACAGACTATCATACCAACAAGACATGATGCGACTTTGTGTCATTCACTTATCGCCTTCGTTATCTTTATCCTAGCCAAAGGAGACTCTGGGAAGACTGCTAACTTCATGAAAGAACCAACATAGATACCCAGAACACGCCAACCAGCTACCCTATATTGCCTCGACTCACAATCAACATGTTGGAAGGCCAGTCGAGAATCGTAATAAGCGGTGCCGGGCAAGGTACAGTCCTCCTCCTCCCATACTCGGCTGTCCGGCTCGAAAGAGTACTTACATTTAGCCAGGCATTGGAAGAGCTATGGCTCGTCATTTCGCGTCTCGCGGCCACAAGGTCTTCATCCTTGACATCAACGAAGATAACATCCAACATACAGCAGAGGAGCACTTGAAAGAACACTCGGACCGTGTCGGTTGGTCCAAGTGTGATCTCCGCAGCATCGAAGACATTCGCTCTACTGTCCAGAAAGCCGCCCAGTTCCTCGACAACCGCATCGACTTTTTGATCAACAACGCCGGCATTTCACATCCTTACTGGCCCGACGGGAAGACCATGGCTGACGAGTCAGTTCTGGACAAGTGGCAGGCGTATGTCGAGACCAACCTCACAGGCCCATTCGTCATGTCTCAAGCTTGTATTCCTTTCATGAAAGTCGAACGGCAAGAGGACAAGAAAAAGCTTCCCGACTCCAAGGTCGGCAGGGCAGGACCGTGTATCATCCATGTCAGTAGTTTTCGTGCCATGATCTCGGACCCCAACCAGGAGGGCTATGCGTCGACGAAAGGTAACTTGTCCTCCAACATTTCTCTCGCGTGCACATCGTCCCGAAGACCGATGACTGACTCGTTCATATAGCTGGATTGCTGGGACTTACTCAGAGTATGGCGGTCTCCCTCCAGACATTCGGTATCCGCGTCAACATGGTATCCCCGGGGCGAATCAAGGTAGCCCATGAGAATCCTGAAGCCGAGGAACAAGGCGAGGACTGGTCTGTGGAAGAAGACGATGTTAACGTGCATCCTACGAACCGTGCCGGGTTGCCCGAGGATATTTCTGAGGCGTGTGAGTACCTGCTGGGCGCGGGTTTTGTCACGGGTCAAAATTTGATTGTCGACGGCGGTGTGAGTAAGGTAAAAGGCAAGGCGTAGGGACCTTGGGGAGACGATCGGGCATGGATAAATGATGCTCATCTCCCGACATAGCAAGGAATGAAGAAGGAATGTGGGCTGGTGAAAAGTGGAGTTGCTATAGATAGCCCTTGAATGATGATAGGTATTACGAAGCTAGCACATGCGGTTTATTGTCTACGCCCGCTCTGTGGACCTTGAAACACTTTATGGACACCGCATGCAGCTCCTATGATGGTCGGGTTTGCCACTACTTACCAGGCCATGGATATCCCGGCAGACAGACGCAGATAGATTCGAGTTGGACGGACTCGGAATGAATAGAAGCCGAGCTCCAGGCCACAGTCACTCCTCATTCGCGATAGAGTAACAGTGGCTTACCCAAGCAGCAGATCGAGACCATTCGATGCCCTCATTCCCTCCGTATTGAAGATCAGTCTTAGTAACCCCCATCGTCCCCGGATTTCGTATTCGCTGCCCCATCATCGGTGGTCGAAGCATTCTATTGGCCAGTCCATATATCTGCTGACCTCACTGCCCAGAGGATGGATTCCGCCATCAACAAGTACCCCAATAAAGGGTCAGAGTATATAACGCGGAGACGCGGATGATTGTAGCATGAGGAAGAACTGGATTCAGCATCGATGCTTGCCCGATCCTACTCTGCTCGGACATCATCTGTCTTTCCATTGACCAACATCCGTCCTACCTGCTCAGCATCTCGATTACGTCAACTCCGGCATCTCCAGGTACCAAGGCAACGAACCATGGCTACGGCGTCTCACATCGAGCTGAACCCGGCCAGCGCTGGCATCTACCATGTCCCAGATATATCCACAGAATCCGGCAAGATTGGAAGCCAGCTGCTACAGGAAAATCACGACAAGTACCATATCTACTTCAATACCGGCGGCTTCCACAACCACATTGCCCATCATCTTTTAACCATTTACGCGCTGGGAGCCACTCCTGAAGAGATTCAGAAGGCTTTTGATATCAACAAGTCCTATCAAAGACCACAGTTCCCGGTGGACAATCGGGAAGTCGAAGCGCTGGCAGATCACGACAAATTCAAGCAGTTCTTGGGCAAGGAGAAATATTTCCACGACTTTGAGATTTTCTTTCAAAAAGAAATTGAGGAAAAGGGCTGGGAGAAGGTCTTGGACGAGCACTTGTTTGCCCGGAACGAGCATGCAGAGAGGATGCTTGACCGAATGTTTGCAGGTGAGTGACCCCAAGGTCAAGCCAGACGCCGATATTGACGGATGGCAGGCTTCCTACATCCCTTGATTCATCTCGGCTTCGGCGTCGAATTCAAGCAACCTGCCATCATTGTCGAAGCACTTGCCCAAGCAGCAATCCACGACGGGTGGACGGGGAAATTCCTCCACAGCGCCGAAGCTGCCGCCAAAGGCAACACTACGTCGAAGAGCCTGGTGCAGCTCATTCACGAAGCTCGTGCAAACGAAAAGCTCCGCACATCAGCTCACTGGGAGGATGGCAACAAAGTCCGGGATGGTGTCTTCGTCCGCGCTCCCGATGAAATGATATCATTGGCGTCCCAGTGGCACGTCAAACCTGATGAGCTGGAGCAGAAGACAGCTGAGATGATCAATGCCGCCGTGTATTTCACAGGTGCCGCACAGAAGCCAACCAAGCAGATCAAGTTCGACTTCTTCTACATGCACTGCGTCAACTGCTCCATCTTCTTCTCGGCATTCCTGGAGGAGCCCTGGTTGAAGGCGGAGGACAAGTGCAGGCTGCTGGAGTGGAAGGGCCGACTGGATCTTGCGCTGTATGTGTCGCGAGGATGTCCCGAGTTGCTGATCGACGAAATCAACAACTATCAACCCAAGAATTCGAGCGATGGATGGACAGAAATAACACGTCGGGTGGACCAGTTCCCCGACGACGGACATGCCAGTAAACTTATACGGGCGATAGCGAACAGCGAGCAAGTCTGCAAGCCGTACGAAGCCCAGGGGGACGATGTCTTCCCCATCAAAGGAGACATGTTCTTGAAGCTGGGCCACATGGCTATTGACTCGGTGGAAACGAGTGATCCAAACTGGGTGAGATCCGCTGGTTTCGAGGAGGCGTGGGAGAAGATACCAGGGCGGGCGAAACTGTGAGCTACTTGGTGACTTTGTGCTCGCTGCTGTACCGTGTGAATGTACAATACTGTGTCTCTATCCCATCGATGATGGTCAAGCGTCTTTCTATTGAATTCGATGGCCAATGCAAAAGCCGGACGAGCCACGCCGCAGCCGTTCAGAACGCGGAGCCAATCATTGCGTCCCCCGCAGGCGATGGTGAGACTCGATTCCCCCGCGTCAAGGCACGACCAAGCAGTCATCATCATCACCCAGCCGCTCCAGGCATCAACGACTTGCTTCTGTTTCATCACGCTGCTTCCTCTTTGTGTTACTTTTTGTTCCTGTTTCATACTCTTTTGCCGTAGTTTCGACGATTCTTAGACACTATCGCACACAAAATGCCGGACGACAAGAAGCCTACCGACAACTCCATGCCCCCTCCTCCCATGGATCCATTCCCCACCTACCAGACTCCCTATCCTCGCTCCAACAAAGACGACGAGAATCCATTCATCCTATTCCGCCGTTTTGCTGATGAGCAATTCTCGTCATTCTTCTCGGGCTTCCCCCACCTGTTTGGCATCTCGCCCGGCCGTAGTGACCGCTTGAAGCAGGAAGTCGACGACCTGATGCGCCAAAGACAGGAGTGGGAGGAAGGCTTCCGAAAGCAGGTCGAGCAGGAGATGGAGGAGATGAGACAGCAGCTGGAAAAGTCCAAGAACGAAGCCTGGAAGTCGATGGAAGATGCTTGGAGACAACACTCTATGGAGAGCAGGAGTGAGGCAAAAGACACACCTTGGTGGACTCGAGGCAGCGCTGCCCGTTGTCCTGCTTTGAATGGTCAAGAGCCCCAGAAGAATGCTGAAAAATGCCCTGCTCTCTACGATGAAGCAGGACAACCTAGGACGGAGTTGGATGCATATAATGCACTCCCGTGGAAAGAGAATGACAAACAGGTCCAAGTATTCGAGGCACCGGCTCATCCGTCGACCGAGAAGGACATTTCCAGATCTTGGTTCTCTGCTCTGGGCTGGGACGGCAAGCAGAAAGAGAAGTTATCAACCAACAATGCCAGCAACGCTGTCGAGCCCAAAGACGGTGCTCTGAGCGAAAGGCCCATTCCTCCGCCCACGACATATTCCCTATGGGCCGCCCGTCGAATGCAACCGTTCGATAACCCTGACGAGACAATCCCTTGGCTTATGCTCAGTCCTTACTCCCCAATCTATCTCTGCAATCCTGCCCAACCGCGGCTTTTCAAAGTCAAGATCCAAGACGCAGAAAGCGTGCCATTCCAGATCTCTGACGCCAAGTTCTTCGAGAGGTGGTATACGAGTGTGGACGAGAAGATGGCAAAACACAGGCCTTGGGCTGACGCGTTTGAGGACCTGTTGAGCCTTCAGCAAACAGGCAAAATGGTTGATAGGGACAACTGGAATACTTGGCGAACCCCAAAGACTTGGATACACGATATGGTGAGCCGTGGCAGCTTTGGCAGTCGATGGGGCTTCAGCGAGCAAGGTATGCTGGTGAAACGGGCAGCCGACCCGAAGATTGCAGCAACGACAGAATCTCTACCGAACAAGGAAGACCGTTGTGCCAGATGGCGCCGGAACCGTCAATGTCGGCGCAACAACTCTGCGGAAGTTCTCCCGCCGTCCGAGGAGCACCCAGAAGAGAGAAACCCGGTCCTCGACAGACTCAGATCAATGACAGCTCGCGACCGGGAGTTCGACGGTCTTATGGCTGATACCACAGACGCAAGTGTTTCGGCCAATGATGGAGCTATGCGGGAAGAACTCAAGACAGCCGCTGGGGGACTTGTCAATAAGGAAGAGTCGACCACACCTCCGTCGTCTTATATGTATGATACCGCCGCTTCATCCTCTACCCACAGCGACGACCTACAGGCTACCGACAAGTCTGTGGTCGCGACTCTCACTACAATCCACACCCGTACATTGCCCGATGGCTCCATCGAGTCGAGAATGGTCTTGAAACGACAGTTTGCAGATGGGACAGAAGAGACCGATGAGAATGTTGGAGTGGTCAACATTCCAAGCCCGAACGCCTTGGCTAAGTCAGTTGACAGAGAGACACAGACGCTCCTTCAACCTGAACTGACCCAATCACCCAATGGCGACGATGCAAGAACACGCCAACGAGATGTATTCGACATCAGCCGAGAGCGAGCCCTTTCGGGTAAAGATCAGCAAAACAGCGAAGAATATCAGCAACAGCAAACGCAACAGCCTGAAGGATTGAAGCAGTTCCCGCGAAGAATACCAATCTCGACGGCTGAGACGGAGCCGGAGCCGGAGCATGAGCAGCAGCCCCCCCAAGCGCAACAGCAAGGTAGAAGCCACGACAATGAGCGACCCCGACGGAGTGGCGGTGGATGGTTCTGGAACTAATTGGATTACAACAAAAGAAGGGAGAAGTGAAGTGAAATCTAGTATCATGGCAGAAAGTCTGCACGCTCTCCCCCTCTCAATCTCAAAGGAGTTGAGGTTTCTCTAAAGACACTCAACACAGATTGCAACTCTGGGCTTCTTCGTCTGGGATTCTGTCCAGTCCAAGATGTCCTTTTTCTCCCTCGGGAATTCGACGAACGGTACGGTATCGCTATGGATTACTATTTGAATGAAAGGATGAATGAATGGGATTATGTATATGGTATCTAGTTATACTCCTCTCCATCTTAAATGGGAAGTTTGCGAGCGTCCATAATCATTACCACAACCACCATCCTTTTCCTCTCCTCTTCATTTTCCCTTCTGCACGGAAAATATCCTGAAGTCACGGCGCCTTGCAGTCTTGGCCGAGTTGAGATGTCGACTCTTGATATTGGAGTGCTCCAACCCAATCCCCAACCCTCTCCCTTACATCGTTCGCTTGCCGTGTGCCGTACTCTACCCAAGTGACTTGACGAACCACGGCCACGGGAAACACCAAAATGCCTGGACTTTCTGCCAATAGGCACGTATCTACTTATGTACTGTGTATGTGAGCGTCTATCCCACTCATTGGAGCGAATGTCCGTCCAGCAGGAGTTGGAATCCCTCATTGGACAACAGGGTCCCGTTCTGTGTCCTTCGTACGGAAGTATATATAGCAACGGGCCCAACGGGCCAGCCTATAAATAAATACCGTGCATACGCCCCTGGGTACCTAGGTAGGCACTAGGTAGGCAGGTAGGTAGGTACGCGGTACAGTACATACGAGGTCCAAACACCCGCTGCGGGAGGGCGCTCCTTATCGGCGATGCTTCTCGACCATGTACCGCGAAGATTAATGGCGCATCGTCGGCGTCCGCGCCTGAGCGTGTATCCAAGGTACATACGTGAGCGATGTTGCCCACAACGAAATGCTGGCGGAGACACCTTGGTGATGTGGTACGGACGAGGAGACATCGCAGGATCTCGCTGTGTTAGGTGCTGCCGTGCAATTCCTGCAGCCTGGCCATTGGACCTGCGCTATGCTATGCTATGCTATGCGATGCTATGCGAAGCTAAGGGACTACCCCGGGTATGTATGCTGCTGTGCCATGCTGTCCGATACCATGCCATGCACTACTGTATGTATGTACGTCAACGTGGAGCAAGAATAGAAACGACGAGGCGGCCACAAAAGAGAAACAGCGTCAGCGACAATGAGCTTTCACACGCGGAATTCATGGTGGAAGGTGCATCAATCCAAACCCCCAGTGTTGTTGCTGTCCTTCGTGCGATCAAATCGAAACCAGACACGTCGCGGTGGCGTCAGAACACAACTCGCTCGGCCATGCAGAAAAGAATAGAAGCAAACCCACAAACCCCGTAGACATCCATCACCTAAAGTCATGCTGCTTTCCAACGCCGGCATGTCGTCCTTGGGCCTCGTCCGCGTTGATTCATCATGTCATTCTCGTATTGCTTCACGCTCCAATTCCGATTCACCACGCGCCAACCTCAAACAATCAACGGTCATGTCTCATCAACCAGAACTGTCTGCCATGTTCCCCTTTCATCCACTTGCCTTTAGAACCGGACCCTGGCTCCACGAGGCTTCTTCGCAGGTCTTTCAGAAAATATCGTCAGGCCATTCCCAGTTCTCCCTCTGGACGCTCTTCATCTGCGTCATCGCAACGTGATCCTTGACCTTCATTCCCCCAATGTCCACAATTTCATTCGCCGAATTCACCTCTGATAGTGGCTTCCGGCTGAGAGTATCGTTCGTCGGGCACTGGTTTTCCTTCCGGGCTTGTACTGTCCCCGTTTCTTCGTCTTCTTCGAGAATGGCAGAGAATGGATGCGAAAAGCCCTCACCTCTGACAACAGACGAACGTCTACGCTGCTTTTTCGGATGGTGCTTCGGCTGATCATTAATGTCGGATGTTGAAATTACCACCAGATTGCCGGTTCCCTTGTTCTTAACGTGCGGTTGATTAGTGGCATTGCTCAATGTCTTCAACGCCGCGCGCTCCGGCAAGGATGGAATAGACGGAACTGCTGCTCCAGACTGTTTCTGGCTCTGCTTCTTAGCGGAGGACTTGGTTGTGGAAAGGTCATCTTCGTGGACAATCCCAACGGTCGGAGTTTGCTGCTTGGAAGAAGATGCTGGTTGAGGAGTCTTCTCTTGCTGCTTCTGTCTCAATAAAGCTCGCAGCTGTTGGTTCTCCTTCTCCAATTCCCGGCGACTTGGTCGCTTCTGATGATCGAGGTCATTGTGGGTGTCAGACCATTCCGAGTCAGCGCCAACTACCTTCGAAGGAGATTGACCCAATCGTCGACTATCGTTTGGTAGTGGCCTGCTCTGGGATCGGCTGCGAGCCGTGGGCACCATGTCTTCCGAAACCTGGTCGCCTGTTGTTGCTGTAGCTAAGCCCACGTTGGATTTTCTCCGCTTCATGCCAAATTGTTGGGCGTAAGCTTCCTCTGCGCGTCGCTTTCTGTCATTGAGCAGCTCAAGATCGCTGTTGTGACTTGATACTGCGGACTTCTTTTCCGGACTTTGCAACCCGTCTGCAGTCTTTTTCTTGTCACTATGGAGGTTCCATAGAGACATGCTTTTCCTGAGGCCATTCTTTTTCTTTGCAGCTGGTTCTCCTTCCTCCCTTGTTGCATTCTCTTTTGATTTGGCCTTGACGCCAAACTTGAAAAGGCGCTGTTTGAGCGTGGGAGCAATTACAGCTTCCGGTTTGAACTCGTTCAATTCGATAGAAGAGCGTTGTGGTGACGCGCGTGGGGTAGGATCATCGTCTGATTCGGTTTCGGAGCAGCTATTGATTGAACTATGCTCCTGCCATGAAGAAGATACTCCAGCAGACCGAGCATTCATACTTCCCTCTGCAAACTTCGATCCTCGCGCAGGTAGATCATCTTCCTCCCTGGAGGTTGAGTTGGCGTCTTCGATCGTCAAGTTCGACTGGCCATGTGTTGGCCCTCGACTCGTCTTTGGTCTTTCGTTCACGTCCACTGGATGGGCCAAAGGAGCAAAAGGACGCAGTTCTCGTAGTTGCTTGCTCGGCTGCAGAATCGGGCTATGGGAGTCTGGCGGCTGGAGGAAGAAGACATCGTCGGTGAAGGGCATAGTCGTCCTGGACGGGGAGGGCCTACTCCAGGCTTCCCGCTCTTCCGTGATGAAGTATGGCTCATTTTGGGTGTTGTTGAACGTCTCCAGTGTCATCTCGCTGCTTTTCAAGGTTGGACCCGACCGGGAAGGACTTTTGGGAGAGGGACTTTCGCGATATGAGACACGTAAACTGGAAACATGTTGTAACTCTGGTGATCTCCGGGGGGTGGTGGACGCGCTTCGAGAAGGTGATGAGTCCTGATCATTCAACGTGCGTACATGCGCTTGGAACCTCTGTCGGGGTGATAGAGGAGGAGACGAGGCCGAAGCTGGGCGAGTGAGGCATGATTCAGCCGTGAAGTGCGCAGAGGTCGAGGCTCGGGTGGGAGCCATCATCGACTGTGTCTGGGATAAGAGATGGGCGAACTCTCGACGATCCATGGTGGTGAGTCCAATACTGATTATGCCATTACAATTATTGCTAATGGTACAAAGACCATGCAAAGATGATACTCGTAAGCAGTTTTACTGAACGGTATAGAGAAGATAGTGGTTGAATTGGTAGAGTGAAAGTTGACTGATTTGTTTACAGTCGCCAGGACCAGTGATGGTAAAATACGTGAAATCTATTCCTTGACGAAAGAATAAACGTTCTGAAACCGAAGATTCGATATAATACCGAATTTACTTGGCCCCCAACGTACTAAAAAAGTACGCTATAATGCTAGCGCCTAGTAATTTATATGAGGAATGTGTTTCGTCTATAGCACTAAAATACACCTTAACTATCTCTATTTCTCTCATACAACGCGAGATTATCACGCTACAGGAATGCCACTTAACGCGTAAACTGTGCGCACTTGCACACCTGTAAATGCTTTACAACAGCATCGATTAAACAACGTCTACTGTCTCAAACTGCCTGTTCTCAAC